GAGTTTAGGCCACAATCCTTTCTTCATGGACCCCTGCACATCTGGACAGAGTTTATGTCTCCGCTACTTGGTATTACATTTTGTGGCACACGTGGCCCGGCTCAGTGGGGTCTCATTTGTGTCAGATCCGGCCCTCATGGGGAATGAGTTTGACACCCCTGCTCTAACCTACAGCTGGGGAGACAGGAGGGCAGCAAAGCTCCATCTCTGTGCCTGCAAGCTCTTTCCTCTCGTGCTGCTATAGAATCCAGCCTCCATATATTGGCAGAGATACCATCTGGGTGCAAGCGGGCCCTGGGAAGAAGACTGGCTATCTGCCGCTTTGGAACTTACGTCGTTGGTCCGGATTCACCCTCCGGAACCCATCTTGGAACTGGGAACATCAGAGCACCAGCACTTTGTTGTACTATTGTTATGTTTTTATCTTGTTTTAATTGTTTTAATTATGGCTTTTGCCTCAATTGTTAGCCGCCCTGAGCCTTAGGGGAGGGCGGGATATAAATCGAATTATAAATAAATAAATAAATCCAGTGTTATCCACAAAGTACCTTACCGTTCAACCCCATTTCAGTTATTGATGAATGAATTAAGTAGCACTGAGACCAGGACAAATTCCTGAGGGACCCCACCGTGACCTTCCCTCCACTATGAAAACTGTTGGTTCATTCCCGCGTTCTGCTGACCCTTTAACCAGCCACACATCCCCTTATCCCGTGAATATTAACTTTACACAGAAGCCTTTGGTGAAGCACCACGACAATCGCTCTGTGAAAGTCTTTCGTACACAGCATCTGCTGTTTCTCTGTAAGCTTGTTGACATACTCAGCTCTAAACACCGGTGAGGAAGGACTTCTCTTTGAAGAAACCATGCTGCTTTCTCTTCAGCAAGGCTTGTTTTTCAGTGTGTTTTACTATTGTATCTTCAATAGCACTTTCTACTAGTTTATCCGTGTCAGGTGTTAAATAGATCTGTTAAGTGCCATTGGCTGTTTTCCAGTCTTCTGGCACTGGTCTTGTTCATCAGTCTCTCTGTCTGGTGTAGTGATTAGGAGCATGGACTCTAATCTGGGAGAACTGGGTTTGATTCCCCACTCCTCCACATGCAGCTGCTGGTGTGACCGTGGGTCAGGCATAAGTTCTTTTAGAGCTGTTCTCTCAAGGGCAGTTCTCGAGAGAGCTCTCTCAGGCCCACCTACCTCACAGGGTGTCTGTTGTGGGGAGGGGAGGGGAAGGGGATTGTAAGCTGCTCTGAGACTCCTTCAGGTAGTGAAGGGTGGGGTATAAATCCAATCTCTCCTTTATTTAGAGTGTAAACAGTGCAAATGATGCTTGTCAGCCAAGTTTTGTGTCGGGTCTGATTCATTTCCATCTTTTTGTGCATCTCAGCATGTATAACGTTTTGCACCCTGGGGGGGGGGGTGGGGGGGGGGGGGAGACTGAATTTTCACTTCTGTGACCAGCATGGGTGGTGGTGATCACCCTGCCTGTGAAGGAACAAAGCTGCTAATGCTGTGCTGTAAGTTTTTTGTGGGGGGTTTTGCGTCGGAAAAGGGGGCTTATGATCAGAGCATAACTGTGTGAAATTGCAAAGTGATTAAGATCTAAGAACGTTAACAAAAGTACCAACAGGGGAATTGCTGGGATTATCTTGCTGAAGCTAAGACTCTTGAAAGGGGGGGAGGGTTTCAAGGTGAGCTGCATATCAAAAGTAGGGTTCTCTCCCCCCCCCCCCTTTTAATGACTGTAAAGCTGAACAGTATGGCAGAAAAGTTAGTTATATCTGCTTAAATACTATTCAGTTTTTCCGAAACTTTAGGAATTATCTTTACTGCTGGGCATTGTTGGGTGCCCCCCCCCCAAGTTTGTAGTGCATTGGAAAATCATTATAATCTGCCACTTTATAGATCTGTAGAACAGAAGGGTGAGCTAGAAGTATTTTAATGAACAGTGTTGAAAAGGAGGGTGTGCCGAGTGTTTGATTGACTCTACTGGCTTTTCAGAAGCCCCCTGGGTCATAAGAACATAAGAACATAAGAGATGCCAATGTTGGATCAGGCCAAAGGCCCATCCAGTCCAACACTCTGTATCACACAGTGGCCAGAAATACCAGTGCCATCAGGAGGTCCAGCAGTGGGGCCAGGACACTAGAAGCCCTCCCACTGTTGACCCCCCCAAGCACCAAGATGACAGAGCATCACTTGCCCCAGAGTCCCTATCTATACCTTGTGGCTAATAGCCACTGATGGACCTCTGCTCCATATGCTTATCTAATTCCCTGTTGAAGCCGTACCATGCTGCACCAACAAGGAATCATTTTTATAAACTTCTCGGAAATAATAGACTCAGTTGAGAAGGTGGGCTACTATTGTTGCCCGTGGCAAGTATGCAACTTGGGCAGAGGGAGAATATGGCACCCAGTAGCTTTGTTCAGATCGCATAACCAACCATGTTTGGGTTTATGCAAATGACCTGGGGCAGGGGTTTCCCTGAATGCTGTCCCCCCCCCCCATGGTACAATAATGCTTGGATGTTCGCAGCAGACGTTAGTTTTGACATTTATGTCTTATCCACAAGCTGTGGTTTGCTTTTCCGCCTCCAAACCAGAATTCCAAACTCCGGTTTAATCCTGGTTTAGAATCGTAGATTGTATGGGAGGAGGGCATTGTTTGCAAATCACACATAAGGGGACAATCCACCTTGAACTTGAAGGGAATTATTTTAGATAAATACCAATGGTTTTGTTGTTATGTCTGAATTTAGCCATTGAGTTACTGACTCAGCAGAAATGTGAATAATTGAGGCTAGGCCAGCAGTAACAGTTTAATTGCTGTTATGCTAAGCACTGTATTGCCGAACTTTTTGCCTGTTATGCTGTTTCTGCCTCACTAGTCTGTATAGGGTGGGGTCCCGAACCCTTTTGAGCCTGCATGCACCTTTGGAATTCTGGCACAGGGTGACGGGCTCAACTACAAAATGGCTGCTGCAGGGGGTGGAGTCAACCACAAAATGGCTGCCACAGGAGGCAGAACCATCCACAAAATGTCAGGGAGGTAGATTATGCATAACCAATCTGCACAGCCCAATCAGATCTCCAGTGGCTAGTCAGACGTTCTGCTAGACCAAAGCTACATCTGGCCCTGCCCACTTTCTTTAAAAAAAACTTGGGCTCCAGACTGCAGACCCCTCATATAGGGAATGTATTGTTGGGGAACATGGCCCAGGTCCTTAACTAGGCATCCTCCTGTGCAGGAACTCAGCTCTTCTGACCAAGGCTTGGCTTATGATGCTACCATGGCAGGTAGGTTACAGTAGATTCTACCCAGTTGTGGACTTCTCAGTAGCTTCCCAATGTCTACGGAATGGCCTTCCTTCCTGAGTCAGGACCCACTTTATCGGCAGGTTTTTATGCTAGCGAGATTCAATCTTTTCCCTTCAGCTGTTGTTTTAGGCAGATATAGGGGTATCCCCTATAGGGACAGAACCTGCAATTGTCTCTATAGTGAACCTGATTCAGTTGCTCATATCCTTCTACGCTGTCCTCAATATTCTACTATGTGTAGCTATCTGATTAGTCCCCACTTACCTACCACAAGGAACCTGACTGACAATGATCTTAAAATTATATTGTCTGATAAGTCCCCGGCAATTACTTTGTCTGTTGCCGAATTCTTAGCCTATGTTTGGAAGCTTAGGGTAGGGGCGTACAAGCCTTAACCCCCTTGTATTTTTTAGAATTGCTGTATTCTCAACTGAGTCTATTATTTCCGAGAAGTTTATAAAAATGATTCCTTGTTGGTGCAGCATGGTGTAAATTGTTATAATCCATTACTTTGTGCTATTTATTTTCTATTTGTTTCATTGTTCTCTTTGCTGCTGTGCTATGCCAATAAAGGTCTATGTATGTGTGTGTGAGTCAGAAAGGCCCTCATTTTTTAATCTGAAAGACCCAAGAGGTTTAAAAGGCCCTGTACTAGAGGATGGATGACTATTTTGGAGGGCTGGAAGTCTACCCCTTTTGCAAAGGGGCCCTGTGGGGACCTTATGCAGTTCTGCAGGGCCTGCAAGACGGAGCTCTTCCGCCAGGCTTTTATATAGGGGCCGCCACCTCTGCCACCTCTATTACTACCATCACTGGAACAACGGGGTTGGGAGTGGTCCCCGGAAGAACTGCCATAATTCTGCATGGCACTGATGCAGCTGGACTGGCTTGGACCATCGACAGGACAATTTCACCCTAATGAAATGATGGATACCATCTTCAGAGACCATCTTGTTGTATAGAGCACTTTATTTGTTTTTGTTGTGACTTAATAGTCTTTACTGTTTTATACTGTTTTTATGTATGGGCTTGTGCCCCCGTGTAAGCCGCCCTGACCCCGTTCGCGGGGAGGGCGGGGTAAAAATGCAATAAATAATAAATAAATAAGGTTGGGATTCTGATGCTCCATGTACATGATTTGCAGTCCCTAATTGTCGTTCTGTGTATTGGTGTTTTATTAGCATGTGTTTAAACTGTAACCCACCTTGCATCCTTTTTTTAAGGAACGGGGGTTAAACGTGGCATAGATAAATATGCAAAACTTGATACATATATGCCAAAGCAGAGATCGTTTGTCTCATTCAAGGCTCCTTTTGCTTGTCTTCCCACAACCCGAGGTTTGTCATTGCACGCCAGTGCAGAGCATCAACTAGGGGTTAAAATATGAGCTGCAACCTCTTGAAAAAACAACTTCTGACACAGCTTAATATGGATAGATGGGGGAATGTTCAGCACAAATGTTCTATGCTAAGCTCGAAAGGATTGCCGGGCGCTTGAGTTTAAAATACCCTGCCTCAAGTATCATTAGCCGCCGTGACTGTATCCCTGTGAGAAGCTGCACGTATGCGCCAATTAAGGTTTCCGTGATGAAATCTGCCCAGTTGCTGCCTCTGAATTTTGCAGTTGTGCGTCGAAAAGAATGGTGTGCTTATGCGTCTCCTGTGTGTTTTCTCTCCTCCAGTCATAATGAACGAAAAGTGACCTGCAAGCATCCCGTCACAGGGCAGCCGTCACAGGACAACTGCATTTTTGTCGTGAATGAACAGTAAGTGATTATTTTACTCCATGAATAAAGAGCTTTATTAAGAGCTTGTTCACGTCGGGTTCAGGATGTTCATCAGTTGACCATCTATTCTTTGGCTGCGAGTAGAGTATTCCGTCCAACCAAGAAGGCCTTTGTGTGGGTTACAAGTTACCTTTTGTAACAGTGTCATGTTGTGACCTGATTTAAAAGGGGGGCATCTTGCCCCCCCAGGCCTGCAGGAGTTGGAAGGGAGCGTGGCTCAGTGGAAGAACCTCTGCTTTTCATGCAGAAGGTCTCAGGTTCAATCCCTGACATCTCCAGTGAAAAGGACAAGGGAGTATATGATGTAAAAGGCCTCAACCCAAGATTCTGGAGAGCGGCTGCCAGTCTGAGTAGACAATACTGACCATGATGGACCAAGGGTCTGACTCAGTATAAAGAAGAAGAAGAGATTGGATTTATCCCCCGCCCTTCACTTGGAGTCTCAGAGCGGCTTACAAACTCCTTTCCCTTCCCCTCCCCACAACAGGCACCCTGTGAGGTGGGTGGGGCTGAGAGAACTCTGACACAAACTGCTCTTTTTCAAGGACAGCTGTGCCAGAGCTTGTGACTGACCCAAGGTCACATCAGCAGGTGCAGGTGGAGGAGTGGGGAATCAAACCCAGTTCTCCCAGATTAGAGTCTGCGCACTTAACCACTACACCAAACTGGTGAAGCAGCTTCACATGTGTTCTCTGCCTGGTCATCACACCTATAGTTCTTGGCTTTAAAAGGGGCATTTTGTATGGGCTTGGGAGGGTACTCTGGGCCTTCTCAAGGGACCCGAAGTCCAGAGTGGTGGCAGCTGAAGGTGGATACCCGCTGGGGGTCATGATACAGCCGATAACTGCTTTCTTAATTACTCTACTAATTTTAATCATTAAAAAAACTGATACTGTGCCGTCTTAGGTAGAGCAGTACTCGAATCCTCTGTGCTTGGCTATCAGGGCATTAAATGTATTTATTTCATTTATACCCCACCCTCCCTTTCTCCATTTTGTCGTCACAACAGCACCATGAAGAAGGTTAGTCCGAGAGGGTGTGCCTGGCCCAAGGTCCCCCCGCAAGCTTTCGTGGCAATGTGGGGATTCAAGACTGGGTCTCCCAGTTCCGAGTCCAATGACAACATTCACTCAGTTTGGTGTGGGGGTTAGGAGCGTGGAGAACCGGGTTCGATTACCCACTCCTCCACATGCAGCTGCCCGTTTGATCTTGGGTCAGTTACGAGTTCTCTCAGAGCTGTTCTCTCACGAGCTGTTCTCGAAAGACCTTTCGAAGCCCCACCTACTTCACAGGGTGTCTGTTGTGGGGAGGGGAAGGGAAGGAGATTGTAAGCCGCTCTGAGACTCCTTCAAGTAGTGAAAGGTGGGGTATAAATCCAAGCTCCTCCTCCTCTTCTTCCTCTTTCTCCTCCTCCTCCTTCCTCGAGGACAAATATATGGGGAATAGGGGTAGGAGAGGGAGGATATAATTAATGTATGAAGTGGAGATTAATAGTTGAAAAGTAGGATATAACTGTAGTAAATAAATTTTAAAAGCTGGGTACCATGGGCCTTCACTGTAATCATTCCATTTGGAAGTTAACTTTTGGAAGTTAACTTTTTTTTTGGTGATAATTATACAGTCCATGTACGCGGCATTTAATTTTAAGCACAAATTGTAGCTGTGGTTCAGAGCTAATGATCTCCTTGGGGGTTCGGGTATAAAAACCCAAGAAGGAGCAGTTGTGTCTCTTGAATATCATTCACATTTTATATTGGCTTAATATAATTTAATATGAATGTTGTTGGCTAGGGCATAGGGTTCACACCAGCAGCTGCATGTGGAGGAGTGGAGAATCAAGCCCGGTTCTCCCAGATTAGAGTCCGTGCTGTTAACCACTACACCAAACTGTCTCTTGAGTGTGTGACTGGGATCTGAGAGACCCAGGTTTGAATCCCCATTCAGCCGTGGACGCTCGCTGAGTGACTTGTTTCCAGTCACGCATTCTCAGCCTAACTTACCTCGCATGGTTGTCGTGAGGGCAGAATGGAGTGGAGGGGGGGAATGTTCTACGGCACTTTGGGTCCCCGTTGGAAAGAAAAATGGGCCATAAATGCAGTGCAAGGATAAAACACATAAGCGACACAGAGGGGTGCCAGCTACTCAGGGCTTGGTACAGGGAGCTGGTTTTAATCTTTAGGGCATAGTTGGCATGGGGCCAAAGTACCAGATGGATCTCGTCCACTTGGTAAAGTCCTGCCAAGGATCTGAGGTCAGCTGGTGATGTCTTGCACAAGAAGCCCAAAATTACAGATGTAGGTGCTCAGAAGAGGACATTTTCAGCAACTCCCTCCCCTCCCCGGAGAGCCAGTTTGGTGTAGTGGTTAAGTTGCAGATTCTAATCTGGGAGAACCGGGTTTGATTCCCCACTTCTCCACTTGCAGCTGCCGGATGACCTTGGGCAAGCCATAGTTCTTTCAGAGCTGTTCTCTCATGAGCAGTTCTCAAGAGAGCTCTCTCACCTACCTCAGAGGGTGTCTGTTGTGGGGAGAGGAAGGGAAAGGAGTTAGTAAGCCGCTCTGAGACTCCGAGTGAAGGGCGGGGTATAAATCCCATCTCCTCCTTCTCCCCCACCCCCCACTTATGTCCCTCTCCCCCTTCGCATTTTTGGGCCTCCTGACAATGTTGAAATTTCTCTTTTTTTGGAAGTCCTTTGGAATTGCCTAAGGTTTCTTAATTCCTGAATTAAGTTCTTCATATGTACGTATTGTATACATGTCATTGTTTTAATCCAAGTCTATGCCCCAACCACTGATGCAGAAGAGGCTGAAGTGGACCGGTTCTATGAAGACCTACAACACCTTATAGAACTAACACCAAAAAATGATGTCCTCATCATCATAGGGGACTGGAATGCTAAAGTAGGAAGTCAAAAGGTAACCAGAATAACAGACAAGTTTGGCCTTGGAAAGCAAAATGAAGCAGGGCAAAGGTTAACAGAGTTTTGTCAAGAGAACAGACTGGTCATAGCGAACACCCTTTTCCAACAACCTAAGAGGCGACTCTACACATGGACATCACCAGATGGGCAACACCAAAATCAGATTGACTATATAATTTGCAGTCAAAGATGGAGAAGCTCTATCCAGTCAGTAAAAACAAGACCTGGAGCTGACTGTGGTTCAAATCATGAGCTACTCATTGCAAAATTCAGACTTAAACTGAAGAAAATCCCCTTCCCCTCCCCACAACAGACACCCTGTGAGGTAGGCGGGGCTGAGGGAGCGCGGAGAGAACTGCTCTTGAGAGAACAGCTCTGAGAGAGCTTGTGACTGACCCAAGGCCACGCCAGCAGCTGCATGTGGAGGAGTGGGGGATCCAACCCGGTTCTCCCAGATCAGGGTCTGCTGCTCTTAACCACTACACCAAACTGGCTCTCAACCTCCACTAGGAGTGGATGGAGGAATGTAGACAAAGGATGATTGTCACGTCATCCAACTTTAATAGGAAGGCAATAATCAAATCATCTGCCACCAAAAGATCACAAGGTCCAATATTCCATCTAGCTGAGATTAAACAGACTGAGCCCCCCACCCGTGGCCTGCCCCCCCCCCACTTTGGGCCTGCCGAATTAAACAACCCTCTCTCTGAAAGAGAGTCGAGTAACCAGGAAAGACAGGTTCGTCCATTAGCCAAGTCTCCTGAGTCAGTAGAATATCAAGGTAAAGGTAAAGGTTTCCCTTGCTCGAAAGCCGGTCGAATCCGACTCTAGGGGGCTGTGCTCATCTCTGTTTCCAAGCCGAAGAGCCAGCGCTGTCCGAAGACATTTCCGTGGTCATGTGGCCAGCATGACTAAACACCGAGGTGCACGGAACGCTGTTCCCTTCCCACCGAAGCAGTACCTATTTATCTACTTGCAATTTCTTGCTTTCGAACTGCTAAGGTAGCAGGAGCAGGGGACAGAGATGGGAGCTCACCCCATCACGCGGCACTTGGGTCTCGAACTGCCGAATTACCAACCTTCCAGCCTGCAGCTCAGCGCCTTAACCTCTGAGCAACTGCTTTAGTGTCCACACAACTAATTCTCCAGGCCCAGCTAGCAATAGTCCAGCTCAAAAGACAGAGTCCACAAGTCCCAGTTAGTCAAATTTTTTTGCTATTGAAATGGTGATACCGTAAGCTCTTTGAATGCTAGAGCAGTCTGGATGATGTCAGTGTTTGGCCACCTAGCAGCCAGTGAGGATCGTGAACACCAGCTAGTACGGTGCAGTGGTCAAATGAGGAGTGGGGGTGGGAGGTGCCATCAAATCGCAGCTGACTTACGACCAACCCCGTTGCGTTTTCAAGGCAGGAGATGGACAGAGGTGGCGTGCCATTGCTTTTCTCTGCGTAACAACCCTAGATTTCCTTGGTGGTCTCCTGTCCAAGTACTAACCAGGGCTGACCCTGCTTACTTTCTGAGATATGAAGAAATCAGGCTCATCTGGGCCATCCAGGCCAGTGCAAAGGACACACAGAGGTGCTTGGCCATTGCCTGCCTCTGCGTAGCAACCCTGGACTTCCTTGGTGGTCTCCCATCCAAGTACTTACCAGGGCCAACCCTGCTTAGCTTCTCAAGAGCTGATGCAATCGGGCGAGCCTGGGACATCCAGGTGAGGGCAGGAGACGAACGGAGGTGGTTTACCATTGCCTGCCTCTGCATAGCGACCCTGGACTTCCTTGGTGGTCTCCCA